AATGGTCCTTCCAAGTGCTGCTATACACAAGAATGTCGTAAAAAAAAACTAGCACATATCTCCTTAATAGTCCATTAAAAATCTGATTCATTAAACTTTGAAAAGTGGCCGGAGCATTGGATAAACCAAATGGCATGACAAGCCATTCATACAATCCTTGATGAGTTCTAAAGGCTGTCTTGTATCTATCTTCTGGATTAAGGAGAATCTGATGATAGCCAGATCTGAGATCCAGTTTAGAGAAATAACAAGCTCCATATAGTTCGTCAATGAGTTCATCAACAGTCGGAATAGGAAAACTATCATTGATAGTTATGGCATTTAAAGCTCTGTAATCATTACAAGCTCTCCAAGATCCATCTTTCTTCTTTACTAAAATTATTGGAGAAGAAAATGGACTCGTGCTATTCTGTATTATCCCTTCCTTTAACATGCCAGCTATTAACTTCTCAATCTCTTCTTTCTGACTGTGCGGGTACCTATAAGGCCTCACTTTGACTGGATTGGAGCCATTTATCAGAGGGATGGAATGGACATGAGATCGAGAAGGAGGTAAGCCACTTGGGGTACTAAACACAATACTATAGTTATGTAGCAACCGAGCCAATTCAGGCTCCATGTCATCAGGAATTTCCTGCAGTGGAAAAGAATCAATTTCCTCCTTGATCATTTGCATTCTATAAACTTCAGCTATTGCATCCGTATGGACCATCCTTTTGATGTGATGGAGTTGAGCTGTAACTGGTACAATTTCGTTCTCTCCTTGTAGGGTGACATATTTCCCTTCATGTATAAATTTAATATTGAGGGCTGCATAATCAGCTAAGTGAGGTCCGATGGTTTTAAGCCAGCTTGCTCCCAAAATCAAATCAGCACCAGAAATAGGCAGTAGAAACACCGGTAAAGTAAAGGCATTGCCCTGAGCTTGAAGAGGCAATTGATGAATTACACCTTCAGATTCCATATAATTGCCATTGCCCACCATCACTCTGAACATTGGAGTCTTTTCAATGGGAAGTTTAAGGAATTTAGCCACTCGCAGTTGAAGAAAATTGTCAGAAATGCCCCCATCAATTAGCACTTTCACCGGCATATTTCCGACATAAGCTAAAAACCGAATAGTTCCAACACCGAGTCCCCCTTTCAAAACATTCAAAGAGAGATGATGATCATCACTCGTTGAAGTTTCATTATCAGTAATGTTCTCAGGTTCAGTGACAATTTGCTCTGTTTCCTCCTCTCCCAATTGCAACACAAAGCACTGTCTATTGGGACATTTATGGTTGAAAGAAAATTTCTCATCACAAAAATAGCATAGGCCTTTTTCTCTTCTGAACTGCATTTCCGCTGGGCTAATTCTTTTGATATTTGGATTTCTAATCTGAGAGGCTGGTGGAGTTGGTAATAAAGGTGGAAAGGAGGATTTAGGTAGGTTTAAGGTTGGCTTAATCATGTTTCTAGCTTGTATATTGGTTGAGGGACCGAGGGAGGAAGTAGGATTATATCTAGTGGAGTAATTTACAGTGGTCTTTATGGCTGGAAAATATTTCTCTTCATAGAGTTTAGCTAAAGCCACAGCTCGTAACAAGTTTGGAGGAGACAGTGCCACCACATCACGTTTGATATCATTATGTAAGCCACTAATAAAGCAATTTAAAATAGCCTCCTCGTTTAAACCTTCAGATCTGTTAGCGAGGGATACAAATTTCATATAATAATCTGAAATGGTACCAGATTGTTGCAGTTTAAAGAGCTCTGCCATTAGACAGTCAAACGGTGATGGTCCAAAATGAGATTCTAACGCACGGGTTAAGGCTGACCATGAACTAACTGCTTCCATCTTGTGTAACATTTGGAACCAAGGAACCACGTCTTTTTCAAAATGCATTGATGCAATTTCAACTCGATCAACATCTGGAGTGTGGTGATAAGCAAAAAATTTGTCTGCCTTGAAAATCCATTCCATAACAGGGGTCGTTCCATCATAATGAGGAAAACCGAGGGAAATATCTTTTATCGGATAATTCATCGAGAGCGAATATGCTCCTACACCTAATTTTGTGTGTGAGTTCGAAAAGCTTCCATGAGTTTGAGTGGAATTGATCAACAATTGTTGCAAAGTGCCTTTAATCTCATCCATCGTAGTTTCATGAGCTTTGTTTTTGGTTTCCATGGTGGTTTGAAGTTTTTCCACTGTCGCCGCTAACCTGTTGAGATTGTCCACTGTTGTGCGTACTTCTGCTTGCAAATCCTTCAAACGCGTGTTCTCTGCCATGGAAGTCAATGAAAGCACCAATGTAACAGTGCAAAATTAATGATGAAGATCCGAAGCTTTTGTTATTACGTAATATTGTTTTCAGAATAGTACAACGAGAATATCTGAATCAACAAACTAAATTGTCACTATAGGAGCTACAGTAAATTTGAGGGGTTAAACAAATCACGCAGCGATAGCCATTCCTGAAACGGAAGAGATGGAAAATGAGATAGGTCCAGAGAAGGGGAGAATTAAATGTCAGAGAGAAGTAATCAGAAAGAGAATATTCCATACCATGCATAATCCTCATTGAATGAAGTCACGCAATATAACGCTCTTATTTCTCTCATGCTTTCCTCTGCGCACATCCATGCTCCTCTCCTTGCTTGCCACGTGGCCACCATGTACAACAACCCTACCCGCCTTTTCTGCACTCTCATTCTTGCTTGTTACAGAGACTGAGCTTAATTTTCCATATAATTTCGTATTTCGGCTTACCCCACTCCAGTTGAAATGTGCTGAAATTTAAATTGCTTCATAAACATCTATTGTTGACTTTTTATGACAAAAAGTTTAAACTTTCAACCAAGTTATCATATTTCACAAACTCAATAATTAAATCCCAAGACGACAACAATGGTCGTATGGCAACAACAAAAAAAGCATTATTGTTTGTCAATTATATATCACAGTAACTTAAGTTTGCTATACTGGAACAAGCTTCTTTGGTTGTGCATCATTGTTAGTGGAATTCTGACAAACGTGAAAAGGAAGAAATTTTGGACCCCTTTCCCACCACATCTCTTACATTCAGACGTAGACCACAAATACTCTGACTGTGTCACACCATCGATTATCACAAGAACGGAGTAGTTTGTCTCCATATGATTTGTAGTCTTCAATTGTATGATGCATGATTCATGGTCGCCACACCCCGTGAAGTGGACATGATTCATGTGGGAAAAGTGGATATAGATTGAAGATTCTGCTTTTATAAGATTTTATTTTAGTCTTTAGCTCATGTTTGCGTGTGTGGCTATTACTGTCTCAATTTTCGTTTCATCTCTTTGCATTGGATAAAAAGAATGTAACACCAAAATGTCTCTGTCTAAAATGGATTGCTTTTCCAAATCCTCTTTGATTCCCACTCTTCTTTTACACCAGACAGTTTTTACATTCTATGTTGTCTTTTGTATAATACAAATCATAATTCATTTTTCTTTTATCAATTATTCTATAAAATTTCTTTATGTTATTGGTGTTTCAATTATTATAAATGTGTATTCTACTATCTTTGCGTAAATTAGATCATGAAAGTATTGTTTGCGTCTGATCTTAGGTCTCTATTTTTTAATAATATCAATTGGATCTAATTTTAGTCGCATATGATTAGGTTTCAATTAATCAAGAATTAAATTCACATAATATGGATCTGGTTTACACAATTAGAACGTGCGAACCTAATATGCTATATTTTCTATATTTAGATGATCTAATTATAGGACTATTAAAATCTAAAAGACTATCAATTATATTTATGAATGACACGTTTCTCTTTGTAGATATGATTTGAAATTAATTTACTTAACCTCTTCTATCACACCCTAAGAAGGAGTTTTTTCGTACTTAACAACCATGTTTTTTGTCGTTAACCATAATTTACGAACACGTGCCAAAAGCAATAAACTTAAATTTGTTAAAAGGGATTTGAAAAGTTTCATAGTATGTATGGCAATTTTTGTTTATGTTACACTAGATAACAATAAATACATTTTAAAATATGAATTTAGTCAGAATGAATTGACTATATTTATTTATTAATAAATCATCGTGTATGAAAATATTATGTTAATATAATCATTATTTCAAAAGTTATAATTGTGATAATTTTTAATTAATTGTGTTTTTTTTTTTGCAGCATCAATGCATGATCGAAACTTTTTAAAAGTTCATAGTTAAAATACAGGTGAAAATGATCCTCCCTCAGAAAAATATCATCACCACTGCTTCCGTACGTGTAAAAGTAAGAAAATAATAATTTTGAATTCTTGCACATCTTCCAATAACACCATTGTCTAATTATTCTAATCATTAAAAAAATATTGAATCTTTGACATTTTTATATTTTAAGATTTAAGTGCATTAGGTTTTTATTTAATATTTTTTAATGAAATAAAAGATACCAAGAGCACACGTAACCCATAAGATATAATATTGTTCATTTTATTGCGATTATATATAATCAGAGCGAGCTGGGGGACAATCTATGATTTTATGCCTTGCGCACTCACCCTCACATCTTATTTAATTAAGAATTAAAAGATATGTATTAAAATATAATCAACTATTAAAATACAAACACTTTTGCAATCATAATAAACTTTTATGTTTAATATTTTAATGAGAAAAATGGTTTTCCACCACTTTATTTTGCTTAGTACTCGTAACATACTTGACATTCAACTTAATCACTTTCTGCTACATCCTTTATGTTCTTTAGGATGACATTAGTACTTCTTTTCTCTTTGATGCTTAATTTCTAGATTGTAAAGTTTGTGATGAAAAAGTTACACAGTCCAACTTCATGACGTGGTTGATTCCACATCTTAAACGTGATTTTTATAGCGTGGATGTGATCTTAACACAGTTTATAATTGAGTTTTCATACATTAAAGACAACAACACTACATAGTCCAACTTCTAAGGGAAATATATATTAATGTAATGTTTTTCTTCCACCCATTTAGGAAGAATCTTCATGCTTAGCACTGTAGTGATCTAATTCTCCTTTTGAAGCTGACTCCACATCTTGAGCTTTATCTTGGAGGTCACCAATGGCCTTGTATTGATATCTTTGAGCCACAAAGAGAAAATAGATAAAGTTGAGGACTCCAATTCCTGCAACCAGATAGTAAAAGTAATCTAGCCTGCCATAATTAATATCATTTGTTAACCAATCTGGATGGCTATGCGTTCTTGTGGCGTGATGAACAGTGTTGACAAGTGCACTGCTAACATAGCTAGCCCCAGCAAAAGAACATGAGAAGAAGGCATTGGCAATGCTTCTCATGTGTTCGGGAAATTGCTTGTTGAAGAACTCAATCTGTCCAATTGCATTGAATGCCTCACACAAACCCATCAGGACCAATTGTGGTACCAGCCACAGGACTGACATGGGGGCAATCCCCAATGGAGTTGGATTTGCATTTGCCATATCTCTTCTCACTTTTTCCACCAGGGCAGCAGCAACCATGGACAGAACGGAGAACACCATGCCAATTCCAATTCTCTGGAGGAGAGTGATGCCCCCTTCATGCTTAGTCACTCTTCTTAGTGCTGGCACCATGATTCTGTCATAGAATGGAACCCACACACCTACGGTGATGAATGATATTACCCCCAGTGACCCAGCTGGGATTTGGAACTTGGGTCCTAGGTGTCTGTCCATTTTCAAGGCTTGTGACACAGTAAATGTTCCTTGTTGTGCTATGGATGTTTGACCAATGATTCCAGCAGCCCAAATTGGGAAAATTTTTGCCAAACATTTCACCTCTTCCACTTGCCGGATGCTCACAAGTTCCCACTTGTTAACTACACTCCCATCAGGGTTTAGCTCCCCCTCCATTATAACAGCTGCTTTATTTAAAGCCCTGTTAAAATTTATAAAAATCAGCTCATGTTAATTACAACATTTTTATATAATAATCTCTCTAACTATTTTTCCCACTGAATATCAAAAGCATACTAAATAGTTCCCAAATTCGAATCCCAAGTTCTAAAAGCAATTGGTATATAAAATATTTCATATATCATTCAACATATTATGGGTAGCAACTTTTTTTGGTCGATGGTAGGATGATGACACACGCACCCATAATAATAATATATAATAATAAAGCTTTTGCAGATGCAACAATTGGACACTCCACCTAAAGATATATATATATATATATATATATATATATAATCTACATTACCGGAATTGGTTGGTCAATGGTAGTTTTGACAACCCATGAGTCTTGTCAAGTGGAGGATCATAGAAAACCCCGTCACGTTTCTCACTTGGAACCTCAACTTTTCTCTTTCTATAAGCAGCAACCAGAACTTGTGCAATGCTAGAGAAAATGCTTCCCTCTGGCTTCACATGCACGTAGATCCTTGTTCCCACAAAGAACAAGATGATGGAGCAAAGCATGCACAGGGTTGGGATGGCAAAACCTATCTTCCAGCTAATGGTGTCTTGAATATAGACAACCACTGTTTGAGTGATCAACAAGACCACAGAGAAGGTGGTGTAGTACCAATTGAAAAAGCTGTTGATCCCTTTCTTCCCTTCATCTGTGTTGGGGTCAAATTGATCCACACCAAAAGGGATGCTACATGGCCTTATGCCAGCAGAGCCTATGCTTAAAAGGATAAGTCCCGCGAATAGAACACCTAGGTGAGGTGTGCTAATTCTAACACATTGGTTCAGTGCTTGTTGCTGAGGAGTACATGGTGGAGGATGCAGCTCTGGTAACCATGCTGTTAGAGTCACCACCACCATTCCCTGTAATAACAATTTTCAGTACAAAATTCAATTATTCGTGTGCTTGTTTATGTATGGATCCAACAACACTATACGGCGTGTGTTTATTCTTAACGACGGAAACATTGGATAGAGAAATGCGATGAAAAATGCGAATTTCAATAGAACAAAGTTCCAAATTTAGATAAAATTCGATTCTTTCACGTATGAAAAAAATTCAACAAAAGTTATAATTTTTAAATATAATTAATAATGTTTTTATGCATAATAGATAAGTAAGTATTATATAATATTACTTAAAAATATAGTCGATTATATTAAACAAAATTAATTAATATATATTTTTATTTTATTATTATTATTATTACATCAACAAATAATTTTAAATATACTAAAAGAATAAATAAAATTATTAATAGTAAATAAATTTATTTCATTTTTTACTTATTTTTATTCATTTTTCTTAATACAAACAATGCCATCTTTACTCTTTTTCTTATTTTTTTACGAATCACTCTTCAATTCAAATATAAAAATATAAAATAAAAGTAATTTTATATTTCACTCGCAATAATTTTTAAAAGTAATAAAAAATTAAATTTAAGTCCTTAATTTTTATTTCTTTTCATTTTTCTCCTTAGTCAAAAAAATACAGGAATTAAATAATTGAAAGTGACGTACAGGAATCAAGTTCGTCTTTATTCTAAAATATTAAATATAAAATAATATTTTGTTTGAGAAAGAAAAACATATAGTTGGAGAATTTGGAATTGTTTATGGACCAACCATCCAAAAGTGAAGTAAATCGCAAGACACTTCTGTCACGTCAAGGGACGCATATGTAAAATGAGAGGTGGTTGTAAAAGACTGACCTGCCGACTACAGCAAATAATTAACAGGCATAAATTTGTTTGAAAATATATTTTTATAACCATAATTTTTATTTAATAACCTATTTAATTATTATTATATTATTTTAAATAAATTTTAATTGATTATTTTTAAAGATTGAGTTGTTAAAAGTATCATTATTTAATTTTTTAAAGACATTTTTTATTAAATACGCTAATGGGGTAAAAAAAAAACCGTGAAACATAAAAGGACAATGTTTGATAGATTTACACCCTCAAAGTTTCTAGAACCCATCCAACACTCATTGTTTTATATTTTAATTTAAATTTAAAAACAATAAGTTAATTTTATAATAAAAAAAATACAAAATTAAAAAGGTAAAATGGATTTTTTTTTGTGTGTGTGTGTTTGTGAATAAGAACTCAACATAAAAATATGCATATCCATCATATCTCTTTCTATGCTTCCATCAAGGTTTCAGTGAATGTACGCAGTGTCTGATTTTTAAATTTCAGTTAATGTCCTTATTTTAGTTTATTATCATTTAAAAATGAATATTAGAGTTATATTACATGTAACTTTTCTACATTATAAATTTTTCTTTGATCTCTATGTCCACCTTAAAAGTTTAAGAAAATGATAAATGGATAACCTTTCTAAATATAATCATTTAACAATTACGTTTATTAATATAATAAACATAAAAATTTAAATTTTTATGTTTATTATTGTTTATTATTAAAGAGGAGTGATAAGATAGATGTTCAGTGTTGTTGTTAGAAGTCAGTGCTGTTTCTTGGGATTTTTTTACTTTGTTGCACCTTCCTCTTTCTTGTATAATTGAGAAATACTTTTTAAATATAATATACTGCAACGAGCGTGACTGAACAAGTACCTATAAAGTTACTGTTTTATTATTCAATATATTAAATTCAAATGGCACCGGCCCTAGTTGACGTCGTAATAAAAGACCACTGACCAAAACGAAAAGGAAGATGATTTGTGAGACACAAATACCTAATATGACCGAGATAATACAAATAAATTACGAGGGTTGGTGTGATGATTAATTAGACTGAGTGAACATGCATGTATCCTTATTAAAACAAAAACATAAAATATAGGTAGGATATGGAAAATCATGAACATAACAACTTTAGGTGTTATGTTTCAGCTGTTTATCAATCAACGGGGTTCTCCGGAGCCAGAAAAAAGAGAAAAGTGACAGTGTATACAGTGAAGATAGTTTGCTCAGACAAAGAGTGAATAAGTTTAAAGAGAAGTAAAAAAACCAGTACCAGTAGAGAGGAAAAGGAAGCAAAAGCTATAGTGCGGTAGCGACCAGCATAAGCATCAGAAATGAAAGCGCCAATCAAAGGGAAAAAGTTGGTAACACCACTCCATATGTTGAGAATGTTCGAAGCATAAACTTGGTCCAAATGCAACTCTCTTGTTAAGTACACCATGAAGTTAGCTAACAAACCAAATGCCGCCAACCTCTCAAAAGTTTCATTGCCTGTAGCAAGAATTTTTGTGTGGAAAGAATGATCAAATGATTTGTAATTGACCTTGAAAAAATGATGACAAGATTATGGAATGAAAATAGAACAGTACCTAAAATAAAAGGCATAGCCTTCCATCCTCCCGGCTTCTTATCATTGCCTGATCTTGAACTGTTTTTGCTCAGTTCATCACCGTTTTTTTCTTTGTCTGGTGCTGAAGTTGAAGAAATACCTCTTCTACAGCATAGAAGTGACCAAGAAGAGTGAGAGAAAGAGGGTTTTCTTCCCTTAGTCGACATTATCTCTCAGTATTTAATTTCTGCACTGCTTAACACTAGGTTCTAACTTCCATATACGTGTTACTGTGTTGGAACTGAGAACCCAAGCGCTGATTTATATAATGCTCAATGATTGAATGGTATCCACATATAATAACCATGATTTGGGCACCGTAGCAGCATGGTTTTCAATTTGTAGAATACATACAAAGGAAAAAAAACTAGCGTGTGGTATGTTTAACCTACTCACTCATGCACAAGCGAATTGGATTGATTCCGTGCGGTATTTGGTCTGCTCAGTGGATGGTGGGGACCATGCACCTATACGTTCAAACCTGTTCAATGGATGCCACTATCTTTCTTTACCCACCACTTTGGCTTGTGTAGATTATAAGGTATTGATTCTCGTAACCCCAGTTTTTCCATCCATCCGTTACCGTATATGGCATTTTTTATTTATTTATTCTCTACCAGCTTTGGCAAATAAGATAACCCTAAATAGTTAAAATTACAAAATGTTAAAAACAGGGAAGAAGCACTTTGGACTCTTTTTGTTACCGTTATAAAGAAAATGTTGAATGAAATTGGTTTTTAGAGATAAGTGTCCTTTGGTTTGTCTTAGAGACCATCCTTCTTTAAATTGAAGAAGAGAGTAAGAGAGGAGATCGATAACACTCATCATTTACACAATTCTGGAACGATTGTGATTGTGGAGATATTCGCATTAGCAACATTGTGGTTGACTCGTGTCTTGATTCCGTTGTCTTGTTTAAGGGATTTATTGCATTGCGTTGCAATTTCTAATGCTGACAATGAGTGTTAATGGTGTTGCCCCTATTCTTGTGTGGTATTTTTTTCATTTGCTTGATTCCTTCCTATTTTTGTACTGTTTAATAGTCATTAATATATTGATTAATATATATATCTTGAGACTTTGGTAGATAGAACATTGGAGACATATAAATCGAGTATATCAGGGTCATATTAGGTTGTGATCCCAGGAAACTAAATTACAAGTTTTTTTGTGTTTAATGTTGTACTAATGTATTTAGTCAAACTATAATATATACAACAAGAGTTTTTGGTTTGAAATCAATTCAATATTCTCTTTTCTACATATATGTTAATTTAATAGTTTGGAATCCTGCCAATTACTTTTATGTTACAATTTGATAGAACTGAGTACAACTAACAACTATGTAACACACTTTGTGAGTGTTAAGCTAGAGTCTTGATTGATTCTTTGTCCTTGGTGCACTGATTTATAAGGTGAATTTTTAATTTAACAGTGTAGTGTGAAAGTATGTTGTATTTATTTCTATTCTTATTGAGCATCAAGATGCATATGTGAAATTTATTTACATTGTATTGATGTCTTTTTTGGATGTGAAAGATTATGTTCATTATATCTACCTTAGTGGATCATTGGTAAAATTTAGAAGAATGTATGCTGGTGAGATGTTTGTTAGATGTATACCTATTGATTATACAATATTGATTATGAGAAAAGATGTTTTTTACCATATCTAAAGAGAGTGTATTTTTTATATGTTGTTCATTTTGCCTTTATATATGTTCAATATACACTAGGAAGGAATGAATGTTCACATCAGTACAATGTATATATTATTGTAATAATTTTATCTTCCTAATTTATTTTTGTATATATATACATCTTCAAATCATCAATCAAAATATTTAGATATATATTTATGTGATTTTCTTATTTTTGAGGTCCTCAAATTATCATATATATCCGATAATACGTAATTTATACACACATTTATAGTTTTATTATATAGTGAATGCACTCTCTATATGCTTTAATTTTACTTTAAACTTATTTTTAGTTTGTAGTAATAAATTGGGATCAATGTACATATTTATTCTAATTTTGTATTTTTAATTAATTTGACATTTGCTCACTGTTTTTACCATAACTTTTTCTAAAGACATTATTTTAAGGTGATTCAAGTTGTATTGGATTATACATTTCAAGGATTATCAAATGGATATATTATTTGTTGGATTTGAAGTTTTGTGCTATTTTCTACGTTTTTTAGAAGTTAAGATAGATTTGCTAAAATTTTGTAAAGGAATCCATGCAGATTTGATTTTTATTAGCTTATGTTTTGTAATTAGGGTTTGGAACTAATTAAACTCCACATTTAAACCCACGTTTACTTCAGACTTTAGAGTTTATATATGGTGTTATAAATTAATATATAGAAATCATTTGTTTAATTTTTTAGTTTACGAAGTGTTTCTACATCTTCTCTATTTTCGTTTTTTAAATCTTCCTATTCTTCTCCTTTTCTTATCTAAATTGATTTAGAGTTCTTATTTTATGGAGAACTAAATTTTAAGGATTAATTCATGAAATCAAATCTAACAAGCTAAATTGAGTTTTTGCACTTATTGTTTTTTACTCCGAGTTTGTTCTTTTTTCCTCTAATATAAGTTTGCATCTTGAGATTTCAATTGGTTATGTTGTTTATGAAATTCAAATTAGGAAATGATTGAATTTTGATTTGATAATTAGATACGGATTAGATTGAATGATATTGAAATTCAATTTGTATAATCGGTTCGGTCGTAGGTAATTTACCTACGGATTATAATCCGTAGGTAATGCACTCATTGAAATTTATCCGTATAAATATATAAATATAAAATATATAAATATAAATATATTTATATTTTGATATATTTATTTTTTGATATATTTATATTTATATTTATATATTTATATATTTACACGAATAAATATAACTATAATTTATTTGTAAATTATTATTAGAATATCATAATAGTTTAGTGGTTGGAGTATCAGTTTTCAACTTTAAGGTACTGGATTCGATTCTTGCTAGTGACAATTCTTTTAGTTTAATATAATTTACCTACGGATAATATCTGTAGGTAATGGATAATTACTCACGGATAGAATTCATAATGTACAATTTACCTACGAATTTTTATCCGTAGGTAATATTTTGTAGATAATAGGCTTTTTTTTTGTAGTGTTTGTTTTCAATTTTGCTTTACAATTCTTTTTTTTTTTTGCATTTTCAAACCTTTAAATTTAACTTTTACGGAAAGATTGAGAATTAAATACATTTTAATATGTGTCCTTGAGAAGAATGACTTTTGCTTCCACTCTATATTATAAAATCTTTTAAGCAAACTTAATATATTTGATTTTATGAACGATAGTGAAAATCAGTAACATAATATATTTTCTCTTTATGCATAGCCAATGAGACATATTGTAAATAACTAACAAAGCTGGTCATAAACTATGTTTACCACTTAAAGTTCTCGTAAAGAGTCATGTCATTTGTAACTAGTCCAATTCTCAAGTTTCTTGACATCATACCAAATTCTATAAATGTTTCATCAATTCTCTTTCATTGTGGATAATCAACTACATGTCAAAGAAATTTGTCACATTTTTTACCGTTCGCATACCATATTAAGTTTTTGCATCCTTTTGTATAGGAAACAATCTTTTAAACTCTTTGGTATTTCTCATATTACAACAAGATAATTTTTTTTATATATATAACAGTTATTGACAAACATCATTTTATGTTGATAATATGTATTATAATATCCTAAGTCATATATACATGTCATTTTTCAAATTACAACAAAAATATATTTTTTATAATTTTGATCTTTACCTATTCTTTTAGCTATAAATTTGTTTGTAGATATCATTTTTTAATAATTTTAGTTTTGATGAATTCCTTATTTTCAAGGCTTCAATTTAAATATGAAATGTTTAATTTAGAATTCATATCTAGTTTTGATGTTATTATTTCCAACACTTTGAGTCTAGCACTTTCCAACTATCATCATCATCGTCATCGTTTTTTATCATCTACACTTTATCACCACTATAAAACATCCCAAACCAATCACTACGATTCAATTTGACACCATTACTTAGCACTAAGAACCAACTTCATTTTATCTTCCCAAAATAAGCAAAATATAATATGCATACCTAAATATTCAAATGCTGATTTTGTCGTATAAATCAAGATCACAAATAGGGAGCCATATTCCACCGCATTGATAAGTTGAAACCAATAGAAAACAAGTTTTGTGATGTGATACTCAACTAATCACTCATCATCTCACACTATTTTAACAATACTTTATTGATTTTGAATTAATAATTTTGAAAATTATTTGGTAATGCCTAAACGCAAATGAATAATGCATGATAAGACCAAGAACATATGATTATATTTCAAGAAAAAACAAATTTAAGCGATAAGAAAATCAATATGATCATTAGAAAGAAGGAAAGAATAGGAATGTTTGAGTGATCCAAAGATAATATATGGATTGGATGAAAAGATTGATGTAGTTGGTACTGTAAAGTGTGATCTAAAACGTGATGTAATAGTAGGCACAAGTTGTGGGCCAAAATTATAAAATATTTGAATAAAATAAAGTTTAATTAACAGTTGTTTTCCAGATTTTTTTTTGTGTTGAAATTGAAAGTAAGTCTTCATCTCATACCAACTTTCTACCATATATTGAACATTCCTTCACCACTTCTTCAACTTTTTGATAGCTCATATATATCCACCATTCTTTACTACTACTACTACAACAAAACCAAGAATGCTAGAATAGAAAGAAGATCCTCACTTACATCTCACAACGTAATTGTATTCATAGGGAAGTAACCACCGCTTAAAGGAATATGTCATTTAGGGAAGAAAATAAAACTTATGGATGTGAGAAATAAAATAAGAAAGAAAAAGAAAAGAGAATAAAAGGTTAGATTACTTTTTTAGACCGTTTGGTAGAAGAAAAATAAAAAACAAATTTTCTTATTTCATTGTGTATAAATAATGAAAGGAAAAGAAATGCACGTAGAATGATATAAATATATCTAATAAAAATGAGAAATATAAGAAAATAGTTGCTTCTCCCCTTTTTACTTTTCTACACAATTCACAATCCAAACGAATGATACATATAACATAGTTAATGTTTTCAGA